AGCCCCTCTTCCCACCATGCGCCCATCCCACCCCTGCCCCAGACTCAAAAAAAAAAAAAAAAACATGCTATGTGTCCAATGGTCAGCAAGTCTCGGCCATGCATTCACTCCGTTGGCAGGGCCCAGCACACGGCTGGCATTAGTGGATATGCCACTGTTTTTTCCACTGATTGTCATGTAAGCTGAGTAAACCATTCAGGATGGGTTGGAATGACTAAAATTCTTTACAGTGATCTTACTTGCACTCAGCAGTTACGAAGTGCTACCTGATATTTTACTTCTGGAGTCATTTATCTGGCTATCTGTGAATATGTAATGAAGAAGAACCAGCTGATATATTAGTTTAGAAACATCGTTGTCTTTAACAAAAGTCTGAGGATTTCACAACAGAAAATTCCAAGTCTGGCTTCTACCAGATATTGGCCCAAGATTCAAATCTTGTTCCTTTGAAGGATTCGGTACTGATTAGACAAGTATTTACTTCTTTATGTGGTATGGTGGCCTCTACTGTGATACGGAGACCATAAGGAATGTTCCTTGCCTTCGATAACAGTCATGGCTAGACACAATTTCCGAATGTCACATGTGTGCCCTCGGGAATGCATGAAGACCTTCCACGCAGTGCTCAGGCATGCACAGTGTCAGAACCCCATTTAGGCATTCACACTAGCCTGTCTAGAACGAGCCATCCAGGCTGTCAGGTCAAAGTTCTGCTTCTTCAGACACCTTTCACAATCACACTTCTCCATCTTACAGAGGAGAGGCTTACCTCTTCTGGGTCGCACATATTGCCTGAGGTTTAAAAACACCAAATGAACCATTAGAGATATTAAAAGATGTCTCCTGAAATTGAGGTTCCAGAATCCCTCACACACACACACACCTCAGTGTCCTAAAATAACTACCAATAACTTTGTTTATTCCGAATAATTATTTTCCCCAAATGTTCAGTACTTTTAAAGGCCAGTGAGCTCCTAAGAACAATTTACACTATAAACTCAACCTCAGGAACTATTTAAATTTTATAGGCCCAAATTAGAGAAATCAATTTATAGCACTACTTTTGTTACAGAGAAATATGGTGAAGCTATAATAGTGACTTCGCAGATAAGAAATACATGACATTAAACTAAAATTCTAGGGACTGAGGAGATGGCCTAGTGGGTAAGAGCACTTGCTGTGTGAGCATAAATGCCTGAGACTGAATTCCTAGCGCCCGCGTGAAAAGCTGGCTGTGACGATACACCTTGCACTGGGGATAGGAAGGAGACAGAGACAGGGTGTTCTGTAGGGTGTAACCACCAGCCTAGCTACAGGCTCAGAAAGCCAGCCTCCTGGGAATAAGACAGAGAGCAATAAAGGAGAACATTGCTGCCCTCTGCCTTTACACGGGTGCAAGCACGGATACGCACACACATACACAGGCACATGCCACACACACACATGAAAATCGGTAAGTACATAAATAATAAAATCCTTGGTCCAGGGCTGGTGATATAGCTCAGAAGTAGAGCATATGCCTAGCTTGGCACGTGTGAGGTGCTGTATTCTAGCCCCATAATCAAGGAAGGAAAGAAACTAGCAGTTACAGGGGTAAATCTTGATTTAAAATTTCTGACTTCAATAATACATTATTCATGTGCTGTTTTTAGGAGAAATGAACACACATTAAAAGCAAATGGTGTTTAGGCTCCCTGGATACATTTAATATGCAAAAACACGATGACAAAATGCTAATGTTTACAAATAAGCAGGACAGAACCGAATGACTTAACATTTTTAGATATCAATTCTGAAAATCGAGGGCAAAATTAAGCCTAATTGCAGGTATCTGTGAGCTTGTAACGTTCTGGCTTCTGGGCGCTTAGACACAGCAGCACGGAGGAAGTTCTTGGGAGGCAACAAGAAGCATGTGCACGGCCCAGGTCTTAACACTGGCAGGCACCGGCTGAAGATGCTCCTGTGCTGCCCCTGTGGGTGCCAGGCTCACACACTGCCTCCCGGGGCAAGCGTTTGTTACACCCAGGGGCTAAGTGAGGGTTAAGTAAGGTTAAACAGAGTGCTTGCCCAGACACGGTGCTTGGTCGGGCCCTCTCTTCACTGCCCTTCATGCCTTACTCCTCTGAGTAACCAGAGTGGCGGCCCTGGTTCCAAAGCCATCCTGACCAAACTCTCATTTGTATGAGACTCTTCCCACGCAAGGCAGTCTGCAATCACAGACACCAGGATCCCTCCCTCAGTCTCCCCTCGTCTCCTTGGTACTCTTATCCAAGTACACTTGCACCAGCAAATTTCCTACGTCTGCTGGTCTTCTGTCTGCAGGAAGATCTTTAATGAAGACGTTAAGTCAGGCTGGCATACAAAACAGTGCCGACGGCCAGCCTCCTGACACTTTCCTTCCGCTTACCAGAGATGCAGTGTCATTTGCCATTAGGTCTTGTTACAGTTTTTTGGCCCCCTGAAAACGCCAGTGGGAGGTAGCTCGCGTCTGTATCTGCTTGGATTAGTCTGGCAGTGAGCTCATGAGCGACGAGTCACTGCAGGGTTGAGCATGTTACGTCATGCTAACCTATCGTGCTCCATGCTCACGGATCTTCACAATCAGACCAAATTAGTCTAGCATGTCACTTCTAACGCACATTCTCCTTTGTTGAGTGTAGACCAGTGGATGAGAGTGACAACGTTTCATCACTGGTTCAGACGCGGTCAAGTGGTTAATAAAGAATAATGACTGCCTGGCAAGAAGGAGGCAAATGCAGCTTAACGGTCTCTCTGAGGATGGTCTTGAAGCACAGACTCAAAAAGCTCAGCCCAGAGGAGTCCTGGAGAGATTTAAGAAGCAAGAATCAGTGCTTTCTTGAACTTGTTTTCCTTGTTGGTTTTGCTGTTGCTTTTGAGTTTCTTGTTCTTTGTTTTGTTTTGTTGTTTTAGGGGACCCCAGATTGTGTCACACAAAGGGCTTCTCTTTTCCTTTGCTAAAAACAAGTTGGTTAAGATTGTAAGATTTGTTTTATCTGCTTGGTTTTGCTGGTGGTGTTTTCGGGTTTGATTTTGGCTAGTTCTCTGGGAAGAAGAATCTCAACTAAGGAAATGCCTCCATCACATTGGCCTTTAGGCAAGCCTGTAGGGCATTTTCTTGTTCTTAGTTTTTTTGTTTGTTTGTTTTTTTGGCTGGTTTGTTTGTTTGTTTATTTGTTTGTTTGTTTGTTTTTCTCAGACAGGTTTCTCTGTGTCGTCCTGGCTGTCCTGGACTCACTTTGTAGACCAAGCTGGCCTCTAACTCACAGAGATCTGCCTGCCTCTGTCCCCGCAGAGTGCTGGGATCAAAGGCGTGCACCACCACACCCAGCTGGCCATTTTCTTGATTGATGACTGATGTCAAAGGGTCCAGTGCACTGGAGGCAGTGCTGCCCCCAGACAAGTTGTCCTCGGGAGGCCAAGAAAGGAAGCCAAGAAAGCCGCAGCAGCAAGCTAATAGGCAGGGTTCTCCACGGCCCCTCTTCGGTTCCCGCCTCCAGGGTCTTGCTCAGACTTCCCTCAGAGAAGCAACAACACTAAATAATGTTATTTAAAGTGTGAGATACAGTTTCAGATAAAATATATCCTTTCCTCCCAGATGCTTTTGGCCATGGTCTTTATCACAGAAAGAGGAAGCAAACTTAGAACAACAATTTTCCTTCCTTTCTTTTTTTTTTTTCTTTTTGAACTGTGGCAAAATACACACTATAAAATTTACCTTTTCACCCATTCTAAAGTGTGTGATTCAGTGGTATTAAGTATAGTCATAATGGTACGCAGCTGTCATCACCCTGAGTCTCTAGAACATCTTATAAAATTCTATATCCATTAAGCAAAAACTCCCCATCCTCCTGCCCCTCCCACCCCTGGCAACCACCTCTCCACTTTACAACTGTCACTACGTAAGGTACCTCATATAAATGGAATTAAACAGTTTTCTTTCAGTTTTAAATATTATCTTTTTAAATTAATTTAAAATTGCTCATTAAATACTACAGAGGCCAGGCTTGGTGGTACATACCTATAATCCCAGAACTCAGGAGGCTGAGGCAGGAAGACTGACAGCTAAAGGCCAGCCTGGGGTAGATGTTAAGTTCAAGGACAGCCTGTAAGTGCTGCCACAGTGTTTCAGAAGAACCAAAAACAGAAAGACAAGCCTATACTAACAGTTCAAGGGAGAAGCTAAACATAATAGACGTTCCCCAAAAGTGAGCTTATCAGGATAACTGGTCAAGGAAGCAGCTATAGAGGTGATTTCACTGACTTCACAGGCTAAATATCAACATTCTGGTCATAAAGGTAGACAGGCTGTACAGTCATTCTTCAACATCAGTCACTGGGGGCTACAGAGATGGCTCAGCTGGGAACTCCAGCTCCAGGAGAGGTAATGGCCTCTTCTGACCTCGGAGGGTGCCTGAACTCACGTGCACATATTCAGAACTAAAAAGACTATCTTACGGTAAAAGAACCAGCACCTCTCCAATAACGAGAAAACGTTGAATGGGACTGAGAAGTCTGAGTGTGTGGCCAGCTGCCGTGGGAGCTGAGTATCAAGTTCTTACCAGCTACGGTCAGCACAGCAGATACGCACGGAAGCTGCGGCACCCACCTCTGCTCAGTTTGCTCAGCGTCTTGGATGAAGTCAGGACTGCAGAGCACTGACACCTACTGTGAGCTGTTCCTGTTTCAAACACTTCCCTTTGCTCTTCTCTGCGTAGGGCCACCTCTGTGACCCATGGAAAGCAGGGATGGAGGCTCATGTTATTTGGAACAGGATTAGTCAACCTAGACTCCTCAGGGCTCCCAAGGAACTCTGCATTCCCTGAGAGCAAGGCCATACATGGCCCTTTTACTTAAGCTTTCTTTTGTGGTCGGCCTCTGGCTGGAAAGAAAAAACTGGCTGCCCCCAAGGTGTGTTCAGCTGTGGAAGATCACTATCTAGCTCTCGTCTCCTTTAAAGCTCTTGTTTTCTTTCTTTCTAGAATATGTCTGTACTGGAGAATCACCACTGGCGATCCACCATCGGCATGCTGCGGGAATCGAGGCTTCTTGCTCACTTGCCAAAGGAAATGACGTAAGTGCTGCAGAGATGAAGCAGTCTGAAGTGCACGTGATAAAGATAAATTGCGTTCTCCAGAGCAGGCTGGGGGCCCTGTCAGTAGCAGGGAGCCAGCTGCTGGGAGTCCTGCCCTCACTTGATTGTCCAGCAAGAGACTCAGTGTCAGGTACAAAAACCCAGAAACCGGAATCTCTCTGTGCCCTTTGAAAGGGCCTGGGATGGTCTATGACCTAAAGCTGGGGGTCGGGGAAAGGATAATGAGCAGCTCTCCGCTTTCACACTCTTCGCCAACAAGGCTCCACTTTGCCAAATTCCTGTCCCTTATGTTAGCAAAACTGTCCTCCCGTTTAGATCCAAAGAATAAATATTTGTCAAGAAAGAACATAGGAATTTGCAAGCTAGATTAAGGATTAGTCCAGTAAAGTTTGCTTTTTTCATTGCCAGTCTCAGGGGAAAGTGGGAGTCAGAAATATTTTGTTAAGCTGTAACTCATGCCTGTATTTTCTAGCAGTGTGAAAGCTGAGGCAGGAGGATCACTGTGAGACTGAGGGCAGCCTGGGCTACACAGAAAAACTCCACACTTCAAAAAATAAATAAAACAAAATAAATGAAATGCATTTATTAACTGAATTGATCTTAGCCTTTTTGGGGGGATTATTGATTTGCTTAGTATCTTTTCTGTTTGTCTTTCTTTTTCTCAAGGCAGGGTTTCTCTGTGTAGAACTTGCTCTGTACACCAGGATGGCCCTGAACTCAGAGATCCTCTTGATTCTGGACTCCCAAGTGCTGGGATTAAAAGTGTACAACACCACCACCAGCTGTCTTTTGCCTTTTAAGCAGAAAATATTAATTTTCATAGTCTATTGTTTGTCTGGCCTGAATCTTACTCATTTTCCTCATGGCCCCAACTTAGCCAATACGCTGTTTTACAACAGCACCACTCATTCTGTTCTCTTTCATGGAAATGTGCAGGACCCGCAGGACTTAGGCACGTGACAAAAATCAGCCATTGTCTTAAGGACATCTAGGAGTTTGAGGTACAGGTCACTCGTGCTCTGCCATAGGTCAGGCAGTGTTCTCTGGACCCGGAAGGTTTTCTCTGGACCTCCGATAGCCATTTCACATAGCTCTCCAGCTCTGGAAAGAATGTTCAACTTACAAGAGGAACTGAGTCTGGAAATAAAACAAGGCCAAAAAGCAAAACCAAAACAATAAAACCAAACATACAGGGAAAAAACAGGGAGAGAGAGAGAGAGAGAGAGAGAGGATGGGAAAAGAATATAACTGGGGGGCGAGGGAAGGAAGGAACAGAGGACCCAGTATGACCAACCATTCCCCCCAAACCCATCCTACTAATCTTTCTTGCTGCTTCAGTTAGGGTCCTCAGACTCCCACTCACGCCTTCGGGTTGCATTAAAAATACCACTTATTTCTGAGCCACGGTGTCTTCCTGAGCTACTTTGTCTTCATGTTATAAATTGCTGTTGCTGGGAGACTAATTATTACATAATAATAATCGCAAGCGAACTTTATAACAAAAGTTATATTCATCGTTATTAGTTTTTCTACCCTCAAGGAAGTACTTTAAGGTTATTTTTTCTAGCCTTTAGAAGCCAGATATGTTAAATGCAGAAACTAGGAAAAGCTGAGAAAAGTGCTCATTTGAGGCATAGTGAAGTTGTCATTTTTGAAGAGCAAAACAGTAGACAGAATGCTTACAAGTTCATGTAGCTGAAAGAAGAAACCACGTACAAGAGGGGGCGACCCTGTCGTTGAGGAATAGTCCACATTAGCCCAGTAGCTATATTCCCTTTCAATGTGTTCTTAGTACAACCACATTGTAACAAAATGCAAGACATACGTGCAGGCTCTATGTGTTGTTCTTTGCAGTCTTGTGTTTGTGTTTTGGTTTCCATGCATGCATGCCTGTCCGTATGCACACTGCGTGCACTCCGGTGCACTCAGGGGCCAGAGAGGGCATCGTTACTGGAGCTGGAGTTGGTTACAGCAACTTGTGAGCCGTTCAGTGTGGATGCTAAGAACGAACCCCGAATCCTCAGCAAGAGCAGCACGTGCTCTCAACCACTGAATATTCCTCCACCCCATTTTTTAAAGGCTGTTCTCAGACAGGTTATCACTCTGTAACCCAAGCTGATATCAAACTCACATCAAATCTCTTGTCTCAGTCTCTCAAGTGATGAGATTAGAGGCGCTGGCCACCATACCCAGCTTATAGTAGTATTCTTTCTAGCCTGACAGTGTTCATGTATTATAAAAAGGCTTTTTTCTACATCATCCCGTATGTTACTGAAAGCTATTGTGTTGACTGTCAATATTGTTTCCAAATAGAAGTAATTATTCACTGTTGTTGGGAAATTAGATGGTTTCCAAATTATTTCGTTATGAATAACATTTTTATTTTTATAATAAAAATGAAGTAAAAGAGAACATAAAACTAGTACAATGCAGTGTTACATTGTACTTGAGACAATAATACATCAATATCCACCTGATGAAAGAGTTCTCAGTAAGTTCTTAAAGTGTCCATTAGATGTTTTAATTCTAATTTTATTTGTAGTTTGTTTCATTCTTGAAACTCCTCACATACGTACGTGCTGCCATAAAGCCGTAACATCGATAAAGCATTATTTTGAAGTGAGGGATTTTCACTCTTGAAAACATTTTTTCACATATGTAGGTGCTGCCAAAAAGCCATTACATGAGTAAGGTATGGTTTTGAAGCAAGGGATTTTTTTCCTCTGGGAAAGGGACTTCTATAAAAGTATAGCAAAGAAACATGATCAAATCTTTCTTTAGGTTGAGTGCCTGCTTACACACAGCTCTATGCATTCCATTTGAAAAGTGGAAGGTATCGTATTTATCACCTGAAAAATAGAATTGCAGATATACCAATATATTATTTTCCCTGCAATTTTGAAATCTAAAATATATATATTTCGTATGCTGTGATTCTCTGAACTTTAAAGATTCTTGTTACATATTATCACATTGTTTTTCTAAGAAATTATACTTAGCTGTGTTGCCATTGATGACATTAATGAGTTGCAAGAAAATCTATGAATGAACAATCTCTCAAAGTGAGTTGTATCTTTTATTATATTTTAAATATTTACAATTTTTCACATATATGTATATGCACACACACACATGCAAAGAGAAAATGAGTGTCTCTTCAATCACCATGAACCTTTTACATAAGCTGACCCTGCAAAGATTTATATATTTATTAACCATTGCTATTTGTTTAGAGACAGTATTTTTACTCTTTTCCCATTTTCTTATCACTGTTATTCATTTGTAAGAATTCTTTATGCATTATTTATAGTAGCCATTTTTTATATACTGTGAAAATTACTTGATGTTCTTAATTTGTCTTTCAATTTGACTCAGGGTACAATCTTCCTAATTAACATGCTATAATTTCTGATTATAAATTTAATAACTATGCATATTTTTAAATGCATACAATATTGAAAAATATAAAAAAGAGAATCAACCATAATTCTACTTTACATATAACTTACTCTCTTTTACCACAAAGACTTTACTTTTTTGTATCCTGTTTTCTTACACAATAAACACAAGATTTCTGTATATCAATAAATATATCATAGTATGTAATAGTTGCATAGCACAAATATAGCAGAGTTATAATCTCCTCCTCATGGGTTCTTTCCCCCAAGATGTTTTGTTACTAGAAGCAACAGTAAGATAAGCATCTTTACATTATATATCTTTCTAGTTACATCCTTGCTAACAAATTTAATATAAATTTGTAGATGAGATTTTAAATCATCTCATGTCTACCATCAAATGATTTTTACACTACTCCTCAGTTACTCCCCAGACACATTGCACTAATTTGTATCTTGTACATCAGAGATGAACATACCCCATGATCTGGACATTTTACTCCTAATTTCGCACCCAAGATAAACCTTTGTGTGCATAATTAGAAATACATAAGCATGTTTATGAGGCATTTTTTCATAGTAGAAGCTAGAAGCAACTGAAGTGGCCATCAAAAATGGATGCACCCATCATAGTATATTATTATAATAAAACACAATATAATAATGACAATTATGTCAACACAGTTTAAAAACAATTTCAAGCCAAAAAGATAAGACATGAGCCAGACATGGTGGCATACTACTGAAATTCCAGCATTTGGGAGGCAGAGTCAGGAATACCAGTTCAAGGTCAGCCTGGCTACAGAGTAAGTTAAGGCCTTACCTGAACTATATGAAATCCTGTCTCAAAACAAGAACAGCAACCAAAAACACCAACACGCTCTAGTCAGTGACTCTATACCCATGTACATAATGGCAACAACTGGACTCAATTAACCAAAAAAGGGGGTAGCATGAAATTGAGAGGGAGGGAGGTCAGGGTGAAGGGATCTGGGACAGCTGAAGGGAAGGAATGTGGGAGGGTTTGGTGGAAATACATTGGACACGTGTATGACATTCTCAAAGAATAAGATTATGGTTAAAGAATAGGTAGTGCAAAGCCTACCTACAAAACGGGATGACAAGACATATTAATATATACTGTATATATTATGCGCCATGTAACAGAAAGCTTGAAAGCAGCTAAAGTTGGAGCATTTTGTTAACCATGCACAGTGGCAATAAACAAAGAGCAAAGGGGTAGTGGCAGCAGGCGTGCTGGAGACGGGCACGGAAGCAATACTGCACCCCGAGGACACTGGCAGACAGTGCTCTTTGACCCGGTGGTAATCGCAAGGGAGTCGTGACTCATTAGACGGCCCAGCTGTGTTCCATGTTCCATGTTCCTGCTTCCGCACGTTCCGTTTTTAAAGGTGAACTTGAACCACAGTTCGTGATCAGTCCTCCCTCCTCCTGACTGATTTCTGTATGAGAAGCAAAGCCCTCCTCTGCACTATTTCTGTAAAATGTCCCATTTCTCCCGCGTCTTTTGTACGGTAGACAGTGTCTCTTTCCTGCTGGTTTTCTGGCCTGTCTGTTTTGTGCTGTTACTGACTCATCCTCCTGTAGTACCCTCACCATCATTGTCTCCCAAATTATGACCATTAGGCTGGGATGATCACTACCTGGCTAACAGCACTTAACTGTTCTTCCAAATGACTCCAGTTTGCTGCACCCACAGCAAGCAGCTCACAGACAGCTGTAACCTCAGCTCCAGGCAATCCAGCGCCCTCTTCTGGCCACTGTGGGTACTGCCATACATGTGGCACCACACACAGACACACACACACACACACAGACACACAAATAAGACATAAAAATATTTTTAGACATTACAGCTACTGCCACCACCTTCTCCTTCTCTAACATCTTAATGTTCAGGCGACTTTGAACTTTCAAAAGGCACATCCCAAACTCCTGTGATTTTTTTTTCCAAGTCTTTCTGCGCCCCTTTTAAATTTTGCTTTTCTTCTTCACTCTTTCAAAATCTCCCCCGTGGCAACTGTGGGAATGTGACCTGAGCACGGCTTCATCCGCCTGAGGTCTCAGTCTCTCTGTGCAGCAAGAAGACTTGCTCTCAGGCTGTGAGCCACTGGCCTGTCGTGTGGTAAACAAATTAAAGGCTAAAGAGGCCAGCCGCGTGAGAGAATCAATCGCCGAGTAGGATGTGCTGTGTGAATGTGTATTTCTCTTTTGTTCTTGTGGATACAGACAGGATATTGAACAGCAGCTCGGCTCCCTGATCTTGGCCACAGACATCAACAGACAGAACGAGTTTCTGACCCGCTTAAAAGCTCACCTCCACAATAAAGACTTGAGACTGGAGAATGTACAGGACAGACACTTCATGCTTCAGGTAAGCAACAAAAGCCACCTAGCCTGGCCAAGCGAAAGCAATCAATGATTTTAGCACATTTGAGAGGGAGCTACAATCTGTGGTAAAGTCAGAGTCGTGACCTACTTTGTTAAAAGCTCAGGAAGGCACACAGCTGTTAAGTGCTTTCCAAACAACAAAATCCAGAAAGCAGAACGTCTCTCGTTTTTCCTTGTTTGCTAACTGCCTCCTCTCAGAGTAACCTCGACGGAACCTTGCACGTATCAGGAAGTGTATAACCCCTCGTCTTAGTTATCGTTCTGTCACTGTAAAGACATGCAGGTGACCAAGAAAACTAACAGAAGAAAACATTTAATTGGAGACTTGCTTACTACTTCAGAGGGTGAGTCCATGGCAATCGCAGCAGGGAGCCTGTCAGCATGCACAAGGATGGCGCTGGAGCAGGAGCTGAGCGTTTACATGCTGAGACAAAGAGAAAGAGTTCACTGGGAGTGGCACGGGGTTCTGAAACCTCAAACCCACCCCCAGCAGCACACTTCCTCCAACATATCTACACCCCCTAGTCCTTCCCAAACAGTTCCACCACTGGAAACCAAGCATTCAGAGATAAGAGCTTTGTGGGTCATTCTACACCCTTGTATAAGTACTACTAGTTAAAAAAAAAAAACAGTTCTGGGAATCACACCCTGGAGAGACAGCCTTACCAGGAATGCCACAGCAAGGGCTATGCCCCTGAGCCACCAAGTTGGTCGGTGTCACAGTGGTGGCACTGAGGGCTGTGTCTGTAACTTGAGAGGGTATTGTTCATTGCAGTGCCATCAAACCCTGAAAAACCCGTAGCTTTCCTCCACCAGAGGCTTGTCCAGGTCGGCTTTGACTCTCTTCCTCCCTGAGTTTTTGCTCATGTGAGATTTACAGTTTTTTAGATAAAAAGTAAATAAATGGAATTGAATCAGCTTGTTGAATTGGATCAAGCCCAACCCTGTCTGCTTTGGCAAGAGCCTTTATGAAGCAAGAGGGACAAAGTCAACCTCAGAGTTACAAGTTTGACCCAGTATCCGAATCAGAGCCTTCTTTGTGTTTTCTCTCAGAGTTAAGGTTAGGGTCATCCTGGTCCTTTTGGCACAGGTGACCTCGTGCCTAGCTGTGGACCCTGAGCTTGTCTAGACAGACCAGCTTTAACCTGAGACTGAGCCATAGTCATCTTGTTCCAGGCCTTCACATTGTAGCTACCCAAAGTTCTCAGTCCATGTCAGGAAACACCCTATTCCACATGTAGGACGATATCCCTCCCCTTCTTTCTAAACCAGTATTCTAGTACCTAAGTGCTTAAAGTTTAGCACCTAAATGCTCAGATATGGGCCAGATGTTGACTTAAATGACTCAGCAGCTTGTAACTGAAACATTAGACCCTTCCTTACAAAAGGAAGTCTCGTGAACTCAAAGGAATCTTGAAAAATCCCTAAAAGGACTTCTATCCCTTACCTATGCCAACACACGTGCTGGTTCCCCCTCTAACCATGGAATAAACAACTGGATTTCTATCTTAGTGCCATCCACGGCTCTCCTAGACCTCGGCACTCCTGGCCACTCTGTATGACACATTTAAGGTGTGTCAAAGCAATGGACATCGCTAGTGGGCCAGTCTCCCGGTAGCAGTCCCTTAAGAGAACCTGCCTGTCTGGGAATTCAAGATAGCACTACTGGAATCATCACTACTGACAAAAACCTGACAGACACCCCAGGCCCAGAGCCATGTGCAGCAACCCAAGAAGCTCTGAGTTAGCTAGGCAAGTACAAGAGTCTTGGGTTTTGTGTGACTTAGCACCTTGGCTGGTAATCTGAACTTACATCAACACAGACATGTAAATGCAAACACAATTGAAGACACACATGGAGAGTGTCAACATAAGAATGACTTCCATCACTGAGCCTGAACCCACAACCAGGGAGCTTGCGTGGGCCTGACCTAGGCCTCCTGTATATATATTACAGTTGTGTAGCTTGGTGTTTTTGTGGGACTCCTAACAGAGAGAGCGGGGGCAGGGTGCTGTTTCTGACTCTTGCCTGCTTTTGGGATCCTTTTCCTCTTACTGAGCTACTTCATCCAGCCTTAAAATGAGGGAAGTGTCATGTCTTATGTCAACTTGCTATGCCATGTTTGGTTGATATCACTGAAAGGCCGGTCCTTTTCTGAAGGGAAATGGAGAAGTGGATGGGGAGGGAGAAGATGAAGTAGGATGAAGGAAGTGGGGTGATGGAGAAGGTGGGGGTATGGAAGAGGGAATGAAAGGGAAACTGCAGTCAGGATGTAATATAGGAGAGAATAAATTAATTTTTACTATTCAATGGAAAAAAAAGAGTGACTTCCAAATGATTAGACTCGAGTCCGGCCAGATCCCTGCAGCAACCTGCCTCAGAGGGGTGAAACGAAGAAGGAGCCAGACCAGGGCTTTCATCAGCCTGCCCACCCCAAGTCTTCTCCGGAAAGCTGCGTGTCCTTGGACGGTGGCTCTTCTCTCCTCACTGCTATAAAGTGGGAGTTCTGAATGAAGTGTTCTGTGCAGTTATGAATAACAGCTGTTTCCTGAAGAGGCCTGTTGGGCAAGTCCTCTGTAAATGTGGGTTTGGTACCCTGAGACAGACAGGTGGACCTGGCAGCACCTTAGGCTGGGGTACGTGGAAACTGAAGAGACACCACCTAACGACTTCTCCCCACCCTGTCCGTTCTCAGATTGCCTTGAAGTGTGCTGACATTTGCAATCCTTGTCGAATCTGGGAGATGAGCAAGCAGTGGAGTGAAAGGGTCTGTGAAGAATTCTACAGGCAAGGTTAGTAGAGCCCATGGCCGAGGCTGTCTTTCCCTTCTCCTTTTGGGCAATTAGCCTAATAAAACAGGGATGGTTAATCTGTCGTGACATTTGTTTTTCCACCAGCTCCGATTATCCTAGCCTTTTTCTTTAATTCTCTTGTGAACCATCCAACCCTTTCATGGGGAAAAAAAACTTAAATAAATATCACAGATTTACTATGGAAACAATAAAAACACAAGACAGTGAATGAAAGCAAGAGATACATACACACACAGCCATACACATGTATATATAAACATATATAGATACATAAACATATATATGCATATATGCATGTGTACATACATATACATATATATACATATATCTTTTTTTCCTTTTTGGCTATAATAGTATAATGGACAGTTCAGTTTTTGCCCTTACGTTCATTTTAATGAGCTGAGCACAGCCTAAAGGCTAAGCATTGTTTGGAGGCCAATGTCTTCAACTCTGAGAGAATAATTTGGAGGCTTTTGTATGCCTTTTTCTCAGGTTCTTGAAATTTCCAATAAAACAGGTCAAAGTTAGCCAAGAACTGAGTTAAAGCATTCAAATGTAGTTTCAACAATAACATATGTGGATTTTTCTGTGTAAAGACAAACGGCCCTAAGGTAGAGCATAATTTTTCAAAGACTGCCTCCCTTCAGAAGGCAGGCAGTAAATCAGCAAGCAGAATCTTGACCCTGGGTGGGAGGCAGGCCTTTAAACTCAGCCTTGTTTCTTCAGGCTGGGTTTCAACATCCAGGATGTTTGTTCGGGCATCAGCAGTGCCCTCTTACTAGTGACAGGATCAGGCTTAACAGGCTGGGAACAAACAAAGCTTGAAGTGTCCCACATACCAGCTCTGTGGGGAGGTCAGACAGCAACAGTGAGCCTTTTTGAAAAACGTCCATTGACGGATGTGTCAATGACATTGTGATGGATCCAAAGACAAAAGACAAAGTAGGGCTGGGTTCACACGGGGCCAGAGGCTCTGTTCATGCCACACTCTAGGAGCAAAAGTGCTCATGAAACTCGTATGACTCTGAAATTTTGTGTGCATTCAGTATGAGTCACTGGAAGTTAAAAACTCAGCAGGGTGTGGTGACACATGCCTGTGATCCCAGCACTCATGGAGATGGAGGCAGGCGGATCTTTGTGAGTTCGAAAACTCAGTTCTAGCTGACTGAGATATAAAGTCTCTACTGAGATCAGAACAAAAGGAAACATGATGAAGTTGGAGCAGAAAAGGCTTCAAGTAAGTAGGATGAGTGATAGACTGTTGAAATAGCAGTGGGAGAGGAGGCTATGGCTGCAGTATTGAAAAATCAAGATTCTCTATCCCACTTGCTTTTGTTCCGATCATGTGCTGTGGTCGGTGTCAGTTGTGGTTTAAAGCTTGAATTTGCTCATCTGACACTTTATTCCGACTCTCAGCAACTTGGGTCAGGGTTCATACTACCTGGGCAGACATGGAGTTCAGGAACCGAAGCTGTTAACTACGAGGCATTAATGCTATTGAGCAATAAGGTAACTATAATGTTTCTTTGCAAAACAAAACCAACAAAGAAACAAAAAACCCAGCCCTAGTAAGATGCATGCCTGCAGCACAGTAACCTAGAAAGACTAGAATGTTTGCCACTGCGGTCCCTACCTACGCTGGAGCGGTCACAGTACAGGTCTCCTGGCTGACAGTTTTGCAGAAGTCCCGTCTGCTGTGAGAAGCCTGGACTCTGATCATCTGAATTCTCTTTCTTTCTGCTAACTTTGTGGGAAGGACTCCCACACCCTTGATTAATGCTGTTCTGTCTGTCAGTTATGGATTTGGACTCACCTCACCCTGTTCCTGGCTTCTATCAACAGTTCTAGATAATAGTCTCTTTTCCTGATGCTGTTGTCAAGTTGTCATTTTTGTTGTTGCTGTTGTTGTGAGATGAGGTCTTCATAAGTAACAGGCTCTGGTCTCAAACTCACATTCTTGCCTCGGACTCTAGAATGCAGAGCTGAAAGCATGGGCCACTGTGCCCAGCTGTGACAAATATCATGGATATAATACATTATGTTAAACAAAGAAAACCCTTTAAATTGAGGCTTCAGGAACAGATCGGAGAGAGGAAAATGGTTCCCTATGAACTAGGAAAACTGTCTGATCCTCAGGACAGAGATTAGGGTTCCCCTCCTCCCCAGCCCTCAATACTTTAAGAAAGTAGAATTTCTGTGCAATTGTGAATACAGATTGATAGCTCCACAGTTAACCTAGTTTTTCAAAAAGGTTTTATTGAGCATCCACCTCTAGCTTTGTCTAATCTTCAACAAAACTTATTGTTATACAAATAATTACACAGAGTGGATGTTACAGTTGCCACCAAGAAATGAGCTGCTTTCCACCATAATACCCCAAATGCTAATCACCAGCATTCCAGGTGAGGAAACAGTAACCCCCAGAGCAATTCCCTCCAACAGGGTCATTCAAGCTGTTGATGCACAGTCTATGAACTCTGAATTGACATGTGTTTCTTCTTCCTTCTTTTTAGGTGACCTTGAGCAGAAATTTGAACTGGAAATCAGCCCTCTTTGTAATCAACAGAAAGATTCAATTCCTAGCATACAAATTGGTAAGTTGAAATCTGTATTTACTTAAAATGAACAGCTTGTCATCTCTGCCAAGAGTCACAATGACAACAAAAACAACAACACAGCCTTCCAGAGATCTAAATGGCTGCGGCCAAGCAAATACTTTGATCATGACTGATCTTTTAGATAATTCTCAATTGAAAAATCGAGGGATGAGGCTTGTTACGGACCTTAACTAACATTCATATCAACCTTGGGATTTAGAATAGAATGAGAATCAAGAGAGGCCTGGTGGTACATACCTATAATCCAGGCCCTCGGGAGGATGAGCCACTAAGGTCATACAGTCAAAGCCAGACTAAACTGCACGATAAGACCCGGTGTAAAAAGCCAAGGGCTCAGAAAGCAGCTTGGAGGTGTAAAATATGCATGAAATGTGCAAGGCTCTAGGTCATCCCTGGCATATGCTGGAGTGGTGACTTGGTCAGTAGTGTTTGTCGGGCAAACTCCATGCTCGTAAGAGACACTGTCTTGTGTAAGGAGGAATGGGTGGGGAGATGCCTGTCAGTAATGTGCCGCCTCTCAGGCACACAAACATGAAGACCTCAGTTCAGGTCACGGAACCTGCATAAGAAGCCAGGCACCGAAGCCGGCGCTGGGGAGTGTCACACGGAGGATCCCTGGAGCTCACTGGCCAGCTGTCCTGGCAGAACCAGTGACCGTCAGGTTGGGTGAGAGGCCACACTGGCTGCATAAATGGCTCAGTAGTGAAAAGCATGTAACGGCTCCTGCAGAGGACCCAATTTTGGTTGCCCAGTGGCTCACAACTGCCTCTGAGGGCACTCGCACTCACGTGCCCATACCCACACACAGACACACACACACGTGTGTAAATTAAAATAAAACATTTTAAAAAATTTTAAAGAATGAGTTTTAAAATAAAGGTAGATGGTAAGCTTGGAAAAACACCCACTGTGCCTCTGACTTCCACACACATGTGCGCATATACACAGGTACATATACGCACGTGCATGCACACACATGCGAAACACATGTCTACATGAATCCACACACATGCGCACACACATTCACATGCATGCACACACCAAAAAATAAACAACAGCCATAAAAGGGGAGAGCAGATGAGAAGGACAACCAGCATTGACTTCTGGCTTCCAATGGCACGCACACATCACACGAGCATGCACACACGTGCACACACAAAAGAGCAGCCTCACGTCAGACTGAATTGTCCATTCACAGTCTCTCCAGGGTTTGAAGAGTGGAAGTCCAAATGAATCGGACTTTAAGACCCCACTGTGAGAGCTAAGCGCTTCAGTGCCCTTCAGTACAGGCTCTGAACAGTCACTCCAAAGGGCAGTCCCTAGGCCTGGAATCCTGAAGCCCTGCTGTCCCCTTGTGGCCAGATGTCAGTGTTTCTCCACTCTTTACTTCAAAACATATTTCAGTCATGTTCTCATAAAACCACACTCACTTTCAAGTGTGGGTTGCGGTAAGCTGTTTGAGTATGTTTAAGTATGTATCCAGAATGAATATTACTTTATCACATGACACATAAGATCTTTATGCAAATCAAGCGGGAAAAAGTTTACTTCCTTCACTTTGCTGAAGGAAGTATGCTTGCTCTACGTCTCAATCCCATCTATATGTAAAGATAGCCTTTCTTTTTCCTAGAAGTGCTTCCATTAAAACAAAACACAGCTTAAACTCTTTTCCGTAACAGACTCCATCCTTGACAGCTAGCTGTTTGCAGTTTTGCACAGACCCCTCAGAGGCCATTGCATTCGTAGGGTTGTAGGTCTCAAAGCTTAATGCCTTGCAATTGGGAGGAAGGGGGCATCTGCAAAGATCAGCTGAAAATGAGAGGGTGTTAGAATGCTCTGCTGACAGTCCTGGAGAGTGGCATCTAATCGATAGTCCCACAGAGAGTCATAAACAGGAAACAGAAAGCACTCAAACGCAGCTACAAAGATCTACTAGGAAGCACACATACTCAGATGCTGAGTATTCTGACGGATAGGTTAGTAAGAATCCTTTTTCCCAAACTGCCTTTAATATTCGCATGCTGTTTTCATAATTAAACTGATTCACCCCCAACTCCTGCTGAGGTGAATTAGGAGTGTTTTAAAAATAGATAGATAGATAGATAGATAGATAGATAGATAGATAGATAGATA